AGTGGAGGATGATGATTTAGGGCGACATTATCCGCAGTGTGATTGTCGTCCAGTTGTTCGTTATGGTTAGACTGTTAGGACTTTATATCCGANGTTATCCGCAGTGTGATTGTCGTCCAGTTCTTCGTTATGGTTAGACTGTCAGGACTTTATATCCATCTCTGCTTATATTTCTTGTGATGATCTATCTCCTACATTTCAAGCTTATAGTATGACCTTATAAGATACGTCAATTCCTCGCTCTGTTTTCAAAGGCTATGCTGGAAAGGTATGTCGACTACGTAAGTCTCTTTCTGGACTAAAACAGTCACCACGAGCCTGGTTATCTCGCTTTAGTGGTGTAATTGTACGTTTAGGGTTCACTAAATGTCATTCTGATCATACCTGCTTCATTCGACGGAATACTTCTGGACAGTGTGTCATCCTTTTGGTATATGTTGATGATATTATTATTATTGGAGATGATATTTTCGGGACTGCATAGGTCAAGGTAGACATTGGGAAGGCCTTCAATGTGAAGAACCTTGGATTTATGCGATACTTTCTTAGAATTGAGGTTGCCCGTAGTAGTAGAGGTATTGTTCTTTCTCAGAAAAAGTATGTTCTGGATCTTCTCTTAGACATTGGGATGTTGGGGTGCAAATCAGCATCATCACCCATGATTTCAAACCTGAAGCTTACTACTAAAGGTGACGAGTTGAGAGATCCGACTGTCTATCAGAGGTTGGTAGGTAGATTTATCTACCTAGTCAACACTAGGTCAGACATTTCATTTGCTGTCAGTCGAGTTAGTCAGTTTATGCATAGGTTGTGTCAGCCTCATCTTGATGCAGTTTATCATATTCTTCGATATGTCAAGTCTTGTATTGGACTTGGGTTGCTCTATGCATCAGGAGCCCAGGTTGGTTCTCTAGCCTGTTATTCAGATTCACATTACATGGGAGTATGTGACGGTCGATCTACTACGGGCTTCTGTACTATCCGAGGAACTCATCTTATCTTTTGGAAGAGCAAGAAACAAGCAGTTGTCTCTCATTCGTTAGCAGAGGCAGAATATCGGGCACTGACACTTAACAAATGTGAGACTATCTGCCTACGATCGATTTTTGGCGAGTTAGGATTTCTAGTGGCTTTTTCATCTATATTTTATTGTAATAATCGATCTGCTATTCAGCTCATTTTTGACTCTGTATTATATGAGAGGACAAAACATATAGAGATCGATGTTCACTTTCTTCGGGAGAAGATTCGTTGTGGTATTGTCACGCCAATGTTTGTGGGAACCAGTGATCAGGTTGTGGATATTTTCACCAAACCTGTCACTCTATTCATTCTCTAGGACTCATTTGTCAAGTTTGGCTTAGTTGATATTTTTACGCCTAGCTTGACGGGGAGTGTTGGAGTATAATCTAGTTTATTATGATTTCTTTTCACTACAACAAAAATTATTTTTTGCAACGTTTTTTTTGCATATACTAATCTGCGACGATTCCATAATTTTGTTGCAAATCTATTTTTTTGGGAACTTTTTTGCGACGTTTTTTAAAAATGTCACGAAAAGGAGATTCCCTCCCAATTGTTTTTGGCGCGAGAAATGGCGAGAATTGATGATTTTTTCACGACAAAAAATCATTGTCGCAGAAAGTATGAATTCGTAGCCAAAATAAATAATATAAAATTAAAATAAAAAATAAATTCAAAATATATCATTAGCGACGTATTTAGTTTTCGTCGCAAAATATAAATTTTAGTTATTCAATTTTTTTGAAATATTAATGTCAATTTGCGACCTTTTTATAAATGCATCGCCGAATATAAATTTTATTTTTTTTATAAAGCAAAAGCAATATTTCACGACATTTTTATATGTGTAGCAAAATGTAATTTTAGTAATTTAAATTAGACTTAAAATGTTATTTGCGACGTTTCTTAAAAACATCGCGAATAGTAATTCCCTCCCAATTTTTTTTTGGCATGAGAAATAGCAGGAATTGATAATATAAAATTAAAATAAAAAATAAATTCAAAATATGTCATTAGCGACGTTTTTTGTTTTCGTCGCAAACTATAAATTTTAGTTATTCAATATTTTTGAAATATTAATGTCAATTTACGACGTTTGTATAAATGCGTCGTCGAATATAAATTTTATTTTTTTTATGAAGCAAAAGTAATATTTCGCGACATGTTTATATGCGTTGCAGATGTAATTTTAGTAATTATAAATTAGACTTAAAATGTTATTTGCGACGTTTATTAAAAAGGTCATGGAAAGTAATTCCCTCCCAATTTTTTTGTTGGCCCGAGAAATGGTGGGAATTAATAATATAAAATAAAAATAAAAAATAAATTCAAAATATATCATTAGCGACGTTTTCAGTTTTCGTCACAAAGTATAAATTTTAGTTATTAAAGTTAAATGAAAATATTAATGTCAATTTGCAACATTTCTTAACTTCGTCGCAGAATATGAATTTTATTTTTTAAAGTAATATTTGGCGATAGTTTTTTATTCGTCGCAGACTTTAATTTTAGTAATTCTAAATTAGACTGAAAGGTTTATGGCGACGTTTTTTAACAACGTCGCGAATAAGTGATTCCCTCCCAATTTTGTTTTGGCGAGAGAAAATGTCATTCTCTCTCAAATAAAAGGTGATTCCCTCCCAAATAAATAATATAAGATTAATATAAAAATAAAGTCAAAATATATAGTTTGCGACATTTAAATTTTTCGTCGCAGAATACAATACAACAAAAATATTTATTAATTTGCGACCTTTTTTTTTCATCGCAAAATTGTCATTCTCTGTATCTCTTATTTGCCACGAGCGATGGCGGGAAATGACAATATTTTTTACTACAAAATTTTTTTGTCACAAAAATTAAATTAAAATAAAATAAAAATGTTAAATTGGGACGTTTTATTTTCGTCGCAGAATATAAATTACAGCCACATTTAAAGTTAAAATAAATAAAAATATTAAATTGCTACTTTTTATTATTCACGTCACCTAAATATTTTTGAAATTTATGACGACGATTTTATTTTCGTCACAAAATAAAAATTATAATTGATAGATGCACAACCCATTAATTGGATCCTTACTGGTAAATTTCAAAAATGGCCCAACATCCTTATTATGATGTATATTTTTTTTTTCATAATATACAATAATATTATAATATTTAAGTTTAGTATTCTACTTAATATTTTATAATAATATTATTTTGATATAATTTTTTGATTTAATCCATCACAACATTGGTAAATGAACTTTATTTAGTATTGAAATTCACTATCAAATTAAAATTTTTAGTACATTACTTTTGTAACACCCTAAAAAATCACCCTGGAAGACATTATTATCTATAAATTATTCATACTATGAGAGCAACTAATAAAATTCACACTAAGAATAAATCTATTCATCATTCATAGTGACTAGGAGTGACAATTTTTGACTCAACACGACGATACAACTAGAATTTGACACAAATTTTGTGAGACAAACCGATTATAATTCAACACAAACTCGAAATGACCCGACAACGAACACAAAATATTACCAGGTCATATTCCAGTTCAACCCGCCAAATTTAAAATTGACATGATCAACTCATTTATTTAAGAATGGACACTTTCTATATTTTCTCGTTTGTATGGTAATATGAATAACACGAAATTAATATGTTTAACTAGTATTATGGAAATAAAATGTTAATTATTTGTAACTATTTATTAAGCACTGACATTATTATTGTTAAAAAAAATATAATTTTATTATTATTATTATTATTATTATTATTATTATTATTATTATTATGTTATTAAGTTAATTTTTAGTTTATAGAAAAAATATGAGTATGAATTCAATTAAGTGAAAATAGAATATTAGCATTAAATGTTTTATCTAAAGTTTATTTAAAGTGTACTATCCGTGACGATTGATGAATTTTGTCGCAAATATCTTTTTTAGCAATTTTTTTGTGACGTTTTTTAAAAAGCTGCATGAAAGGTGATTCCCTCAATTTTTTTGGTGCGAGAAACGACGGGAATTGATTTTTTTTTTATGGCAATCGTCGAAAAAACCAAAACAGTAGGGTAGTTATAGAAGGAGAACATAATAACAAAACAATTAACTTCTACGGATACTTAAATAAGGTGTGAGAGATGAGTTATATATTTGGTCATAGTGTTTTTTTGTTCCAATGTGAATGGTTCAATCTTGGTAGTGGAAAAACAGTCTGATGCTCATTTTACAAGCATTAATGTGAAAAGTAGATGGTATCAAAATGACCCTTTTGTCCTACCTGATCAAGTGAAACAAGTATTTATGTTAATGATACAAATTGGGTAGGGATTGACAAGTTGTGCAACACATACATCATCGAGGAATATGAGATGTTCTTGACTTGGAAGATATAAGAGTTAGTGAAAATGAATTGTATGTTCCAAGTGACACATTCCAACATGATGAATCAACAGAGGTTGCTCTTGTAGTGGTCGAATATAACGAAATAGGTCAACTTCATAGGACTGATCTTGATCCAAAAATCATTCCTCGAGACAGGATATTTCAGTGGGGAAGTAGAGAAGACAATAACATTGATGATTTCATATGTGATGAAAATGATGAGGCACAAGTGGAGTATGTTGATTCAGAAGAAGATAATGATGTGCATTCCCATTTTGATTCTGATGAAGAGTCAGATATGTATATGAATTATTAAGAGTTGTTATGGTAATTAATAAATTATGATGTATATAATTGTTATACTTGGATATTGTAGATATAATTTCTATATTTCTATATTTCAGGTGTTTTATAGCAATTTTTTTAAATTGTATAATTTAACATTTTATGCATATGCAGCTTGATAAAAAGGATAGGATATGAAAACTATGACATAGACATCATCTGAAGTCTCATTCATCCACAATTGATGTGGTAAATTCTTACATTTCTTACATCCATTATAGGCAAAGATTCTTGCAGAAGATGGTGGTGATGATACAACATGGGTGGGTGAACTTTGCATTAGAAGTCCTTTGTTCAAGGAATATTGGAAACGTCCTGAGGTATTTCCTGACTTCATTAAGCACTATAACCTCTAGCATAATTTTTTCTAATTTGGTACATAGCTTATTAGTTGCTTTACTTTTTCACATATAGATGCTATATAGAGTTTTTTTACATGTTGGATAATATGGACATGATCCATTATGCTGTAACTCCTGCTTTCATTCTGGGATTTTGTTCTTCTCCAAATTTTGTTGCAAATGTGCACATATTTATAGTCATTTCTCTCTGAGAAATGAATGTCATGTGCCCTTAAACATATATTGTCTACATTGACTCTGCGCATTGTTTTAGGAAATCCAGCTAAATGCATCCATGCTATTCTTTGGATATCACCGTTAGCAGTACTAGTGAATTACTTGCAATTGATATTATAAAAGGAGGACATATTAGGTAACTTAATAGTAAAAGACTTGTTGATTTTGCAAGCACATTCATGTTTGATGAAGAGCTGGAACTTGAGCAAAAAACAGTCAAAAAATATCATCTTTCTTCAGTAAGGAGGTACTGTATTTTTTTCCTTTGTGCTTGATGTATTCTTTACTCCAATTTTTGAATATTGTGCTTCTCAGTTCCTGTTTTATTGCCTTTGCATTGCTCTCTTAATTGCCTATTCTTAACAGAAGGGGGAAGTCCCTTCGTGGTGGCTTCCAACACTTTGAAGATTGACATCAGCTTTTTGTTTGGTCAATTTAGTGTCATATTTTGTTTCATTTACATGGATTTACATTTTTAAAGGATTGATGATGAAGAAAATGAGATGATTGTCAATGATCAGGCTGTTGAGAGACTTGTAATTGTAACCCAGGTAAGGTTGTTGAGCTATCCATATCTTTGTAATTTGGTTTTGTGCAAATTTTGTTCTTGAAACTCATGTAATCATTATGATCTCGGTTGATTTATTCTATTGTCATGTATTTTCAAGCATGCTGTTCTTTGTTATGTGTGTACCGTGTCTGTTCTTGTGTTAATTCTATTCTTCTAGGGAACCATAAAAATGTTTGAAAAATGATAATGGTCGAGCACTTAATTTATTTCTTTATTTTTGAGAAAAATATGCTACGATAGATGTTTTTATTACCGAATGACCCATGTTAGAATACATTTGTTTGATATTTTGTTTGGAGTATTGCTGCATGAAGAATAGTCAAATGCTGCAGTGGATGGTTNATTTCTTCACTTGATATTTGGGTTTCTTGCGGTTTGTTCTTGGAGATTTGGTTCACTTATTTTGTGAGGTATTTTCCTCTTGTGATTTACACCTTGGTGTGTTTGTAAGGCTTATGCCTTTTGGCCACTTTGTAATCTGATTTGGTGATAGTGGAAGAAACTGACCTACCGGTCGTCGTGGATGTACCTCAAGTTATTTGAGGGAACCACGTAAATCTTGTGTGCTTATTTATTTTCTGTTATTTTATTTATATTGTTTCCATTGATTTACACTTGTGGGAAAGCCTATTTTCCCAACATTTATTACCGAATGACCCATGTTAGAATACATTTGTTTGATATTTTGTTTGGAGTATTGCTGCATGAAGAATAGTCAAATGCTGCAGTGGATGGTTAGAACATGGAGATTCCAGAGAGTTGAGAAGATATGATTAGGGAATTTATAGTTCTATGAAGAATTCTTTTGTTCGTTGGCAATTATTCCAGTTTAGGATACCTAAACAAGATTGATTTTGAAATACCTTACTCCTTTGGCTGCTGAATGTCTTGAAAATGGAATAGTATCCGCACTAGCGCTCAAAATTACTGCATTAACACATTTTTCCATACATAAAAAACTGCCGTTCTCAAATCTCAAAGATCTATTCATAGAAATATCTCTCTTTCGCTGCGTGTGTATAAAGTTTGCTTTAGTACACATTTCTTTCTTTTCCCATTGTTTCTTGACTACTTATTGTTTGATTCCTGGACTAGTTCCTAACTTAATTTCCTTATTATTTAAATCTAGTGGGGGTGGTATTTTGATGTTTAATTAAAGCTTCTATCAATGTGGTATTTGTCTATATTTTTTTATGTAGTTAATCACTGTACATCCAAAGAACAGCCGGCTTGGTGACGGCACTGGAACTGATGTGAAAGAGTCAAAATCCATATCCCATGAGCTTGCTTCAACTCTACAGGATGGCCTCTACTTTTATGGGCAGGTTTATAGGCGTGTTTTCATGTCAGGAATATTCAGCCTCATCCTCCATTCATTTTTCAAATACCAAAAATAAGCTTGTTACTGTCAGGAACTAAAAGCAAAGCGGTCTAATCGTAGAAGAAACAACTCAAGCTACGGCAGCAGAGATTGGGAATCCAGATCTTCTGGCACTGCTTCGGCAGTATCAAATGCAAGGGGTTCTGATCATTCCAAGGGAGGTAGTGGCTGTGAATGGCCTGGAAATTCTAATTCTCAGAAGAAGCAAAATTAAGGCTTTTCCAAGCAACAATCAGTTCAGAAGCAGTTGTTATTCTTTAGTAACTTTAAAATTCACGGAACTAGTCGTAACTTTCATGACATGATATCTGAGAGTCCACCTAGTAATTCAGTTGGGTTTTTATTTTGTTCTACAGCTCCTGACAATCATGGGTGATTTGCGAATAACTAATTTATGTTCTCATTGTTGATCCCTTCGTTCATATAAAGTAATTTTTTTTTGATAGCATTTAGAAGTATTTTGTCTTGTTTTGTGGAGCGAAAAATGAACTTTCTAGATCTTAGTTAAGGATGGGACATCTAAAGTGCTAAACACACTGCTTCTAAGCTGTTTGACTAATTAAGCTACTCTTTTTTTTGTTAATTCAAATATAAATCGTAACCTTGCAGCCTAAGGTCTTCAAAGTTAAGTACTTCTCCTCATGGTAATCTTTCTGGCCGTAGTCTACTTATGGGTTCCATGCCAAAGCCATTTCCACCTTTCCAGCATCCAAGTCATCAACTTCTAGAAGAAAATGGTTTCCGACAGCAGAAGTAAGGGGATTGTCATATCGTGGGAGTTTGTGTGGGCACATGTGTATGTGTTCATAAGGTTGGCATTTCTTTTAAATTGGCTGACTTTGTTTCTCTTCCATTTTTGGTACCTAAAGTATCAGAAGAGGTGTCTAAGTGAACGAAAGAAGTTGGGTATTGGTTGCAGTGAGGTGTCTCTCTCTCTCAATATTNGAATTTGGATACAGGTTGTATGATACAGTTGACAAGAAAGTTGTCAGAAGCCGAGATGTTGTTTTCTTGGAAGATCAGACTATTGAAGACATTGACAAGCTTGAGTCAGCTGAGTCTAGTATTGATGATCTTGTTGATTTAGATCCTCTCAATCCCTCTCCTGTTCATGATATTGATGAGGAAGTGAAAACACCTCATGATGATGCAGCAGAAGATGATGTTGAGCCAGAGATTGAGGGGGAGCAACCACCCCAAGAGCCACTACCACAGACACTGTTAAGGAGATCTACTAGAGAAAAACAGTCATCCAGAAAATATTCTTCAAATGAGTATGTGATGATATCAGATCAGGGGGAGCCAGGGACTTATCAAGAAGTCTTGAAGCATGAGAACAAAACTGAATGGTTCAAGGCAATGAAAGAGGAAATGAAGTCTTTGCATGAGAATCACACCTATGATTTGGTGAAGCCGCCTAAAGGGAAGAAAATTTTGAAAAATAAATGGGTCTTCAGACGAAAGAATGATGGGAACAGTTCTCAACCGAGATTCAAGGCACGACTTGTCGTGAAAGGTTTTGATCAGAGAAAGGGAGTTGATTTTGATGAGATCTTCTCACCAGTTGTGAAGATGTCCTCCATTCGAACTGTGCTTGGTATAGCTGCGAGTATGAATTTAGAAGTTGAGCAGCTTGATGTGAAGACCGCATTTTTGCATGGTGACTTAGAAGAGGAAATTTATATGGAGCAACCTGAGGGCTTCAAAGATAAGGGTAATGATCNTGGGAGGATCCTTAACATGGAGTGTGTAATATTGTGTGAAGGATGGTAAAACATCATATTTGCTTAGTGGCCCCATTTTGAGTGGTGACTTTTGCTTCAAATGCCCCAGGAAGTGTATGGGAACATTTGAATTCAATAGGCATGCAGAAACACCAATTTTATATGTTTCAATGACAGAACTTGTTGAAGTATTGTGGGTCTTTTGGTCTCTCTCTCTCTCTCTCTCTCACACACACACACTCTCACACTCACACACAACACTATAACTCTCTATTCTATATATATACTTGAAACAAGTATATAAACACAAATCAATAAAATTATTTATCAAGTTGTCACATACGCACATGGACGAACTTGTTTGAACTTGGTTTTGCTTTATGCTTGTATATGTTCAGGAGCTTGCGATGATTTCTCAATAATGGGTGTACTTATCTCTTTGTATGCAGGAAATGAACACATTGTACAAGTTCTGGTCATATTTTATGAGAGATGTGTTTGTCCTTTCTATGTATAAAGATTTCCTGAAGTTTGCTCTGGAAGATGATGCTGCTAATTATAGTTTGCTCTGATCAGAGCCCGGAGCTAAGTCTGCATTGGTCTTGAAGATTGGACAGCTGGTCTGAAAAGAGCTAGATATATGGTTTTAATCCTTTTGAAGGATTAAAGCCAGCTCTTGTACCTAGAATTTTGTTGAAGTTTTGGTCAAGCAGAGGTTGGTACTGCAATCTGGGATGTGCTGTACTCTGTGATGTGCTGCATTCTGTCTATTGGTTTCTGTTCAGGAGTACTGTCTGCAGCTGTTTCCAGAGACTGAGGTTTGAGGATCAGAAAATGCAGCAGGTGTACAGGAGCTGTTTCGCTTCTTTGTCTGATTCTTGTAACAGAATTTTGTAACAGTTTTTTCTATTTTTCTGTTAATGCAGTTACTGTTTTCTGTTAAAACAGTTTCTATTTTTGATTCTTGTAATTTTTGGGATTGATGCAATAAATTTCTTTTGTTTTTTTTTTTTAAAAAAAGATGTGATTTGGTGTTTATGTTTTTGTTAGTATTCTGCAGAACTGTACTAGTGGATGATGATGATCTGAGCTGAGCGTAGATGCAGGAACTGTACTTTGGTTTTTAAAGGAGGTGAAGTCTGTTAGCAGCTGGAATTGGTCCAGTTTTCTCTTTGCAGGCAGTCTCTGGTTTTATGCTAGATGCTGTCTTTGAATTAGTTGCTGGGCAGTTGGATTGCTGCTGAGTTGCTGAGCTGCTGTTCTGCTGATTGATGAATGCTGCTGTCTGTTGATGGAGGAGATGAAAGAGGTGAGTTGAAGCTGCAGTGGTTAGGCAGTGCAGAAGCTGGAAAATAGTTGCTATACAGGGCCTTTTGTGATTAACAGATTTTTTTTTGTATTTTTGTACAGTCACTATTTTGGTTGTTATACTGTTACTGTTTTGCTTAAACAGTTTCAGTTTTTGCTTCTTGCAATTTTGAATTTCATGCAATAAATTTTCTTTTTCTTTAAAAAAACCAAAAAAAATAAAAAAATATTTTGTTAGTATGGTATTTGATGTTAGTTTGTGTTGGTTGTTGAATGGAAAAGATGTGAAATGTATTAATTTTGTTAGTTTTTTATTGAACACAGGTATTATTAGTGTACATGTTAAAAATTTTATTGGAATACCATTGTTTAAGTAAGGTTATTTAAAAAAAAATTAACTTTTTTGTGACAAAATTCAAATTGTTGCTGAAAATTTGAGGAAAAATCTTTATTCGCGACGCTTTTTATACATCACAAATGTATTTATTAAATTATTTTTTTACATTTTTCATTTATGTAAACAAGTATTTGTGGCGTAAAAAAATCTTCACAAAAATTAATTAAATTATAATTTTTTATGCAGAATTTAATTTATTTGCGACACATGTTTTACGTCGCTAAAAATTAATTAAATTAAAATTTTTTATATTTTTTATTTATGTAAAAATTTATTAGTAACGGTATTTTTATCTCCTGAAAAATTAATTAAATTAAAATTTTTTACATTTTTTATTTATGTAAAAATTTATTAGTAACGGTATTTTTATGTCGGGAAAAATTAATTAAATTAAAATTTTTTACATTTTTATTTATTTAAAAATTTATTCGCGATGATATTTTTACGTCGCGCAAAAATTAAATAAATTATTATTTTTTTACATTTTTTATTTATGTAAAAAAATATTTGCGACGAGTTCTTTTATGTCTGAAAAAATTAATTAAATTATTTTTTATATTTTTTTAACGTTAGTGGAATAGATTTTAACTATGTTTTTTTAACTTTTGACAACGTTTTTTTTCGTCGCAAAAAATTGTTTTTTGCGAGGAAAACAAAAGTGCATCACAAAATATTTTCTACGACGAGGTTATTGCGACGAATAAAAATCGTCGCAAAAAATTAAAGATGATGATTTTTTTTTAATTAGCAACGAAAAAAATTATCGTAAAAAAATAATTTTTGTTGTAATGTTTCCCTTTTTTATCTTTATTATAAATTTTATATTTTCCCTACACCACAAGAATGTTTAAATTATTTTGTATTATTATTTGACTATATATATAGAGTTCTACTATCTATTTCTTACTCACATCTATCTCAAGTTTTTGAGCGTTGAATATTTGGACATCCAACAATTTCAAAACAAACATGCCTTTAAAGTCGAGCATTATGAACACATCTCATTTCCCCTCTCTCTCTCTCTCTCTCTCTCTCTCTCTCGGGCAGGGCCACCAATCACCGATCCACCCACAAGCCTAAGTCGGGCTGTTGACTAGTTAACATGATAAGCCTGACCCTTGCTTGAAAGTAATTGCCCATGGCTTGCTACTTGACTAAGGCTAGGTGGGTCTTTAGTATCGGACTAGATGGTGCAATTAGTTTGTCGTCCAATTGTTGCAATCTAGACTGATGAGCCAAAAAAGAATTAGACCAGGCTCAATGGAAGTAAATCAAGAGGGATCTAAATTATCAGCACCCAAAGGAACCCAAACTTAATGCACCAAGAGGAGTTCAAATGATCAATGTCCGAAGGAGACCCCAAGGGACGTCGCCCAAAGGAGGCCACCCCAAGGGGATCCCTCCTCTCTTTTGTTCCATACTTCCTCTCCTTCACATTGCCACTCAAACTCAACTTGAAGCTCATGATTAAGTCTAACTTAGCTCAGAATCCTCCCCAATGGAATAGGAGCACGAGGAGAGAATATCGGGATACACATTGCTACGAAGATCTTCTAACCCTATCATAATTGTATTTACCAAGATGGTAGAAACCCTCTCCTTCACGTCACCTCCTCACCGTCTTGTTGAGCCTATATAATGTAAGTTCTTTCCACAATGAGAGATATCTTGACAAGCCTTTGAGATCCCTACACACACTACACACCCTACACACATTGCTTCTCTCTTCTCACCATTGTAACTCTCTTGGAGTAAAATTCTCTCGGTGACATTATTCATCAATAA